AAAAACTTTGCTAATAATGAAGCTGTTAAAACGCAACTGGATCAGTTTTTTGCCGGTAAACCTCAGACGTTTCATGAATGTGGGATTATGAAATTGGTAAAAAGATGGCAAGAAGTCATAGAAAAGAATGGTCAATACATTATTGATTAGTATATATTTTGTATATTAAATAAATTGTATTTTATACCAGTCAAAAAAACCGAACGAACTTATTTGCCAACCCAATAGTAGGTTTGTTAATTATTTTTTAAGTCATTGAGAAATATTTAAAGATTATTAATTATTTCCGTTAACTTAATTTGTATTGGTTAACGGTTCTTTTTATTACTTTTTTATTTTATTTTTTATTTTTTGTGATTTAAATTTTTCATCTCTGTAGTACGAGATGACATTTTTTACAAAATCTTCTCTTGTTGAAAAATATTACTGCCTATGATAAATTGGCCAGTAATAAATTACTGTTGCTCAGTAATTTTGTTATTTGTGTGAATAATAATAAGGGTTGTAGTCGTATTCATTTTTTAATAGAACGGTTACTCAGTAGTAAAATGATATCTTCTAAATTCTTATTATAAGGATTTTTATATTCCTCTTCATCGGAAAAGGTTTCTAATAATAATATCATTTGACAAAATAACATATACAATATTTTATCGTATACATATTTTATCGTCTGCCACCTTATGTCTTCTGCACACGGAACGTAGAAATATTTGCTGCGCGGCAAGAAGCGACGCAATAGCCAATCGACATGCCGTTTATCCACAAGAACTAAAAATTTATTGGCTGCCGCGTCGCTTCTTGCTGCGCGGCAAGCATTTCCGCGTTTTGCATATAGGGATCATTAACGCTTACAATCGCTTACAATAGCCAAAATGAACCAGCTATTGGCATTGGAACCCTCGGGTTGTCCGCAGTATTCATAATTAAGAAGAAGTCAAAATGAACTATATTCCTTAAGCGCTCAGATAACAAATTAAACGAATGAAAGAGGCGCTTATAAGCTCATAAGAACTCTCATCAGAACTCTCTCAGCGTGTGAGCATCCAAATTGAACGCACCTTATATGTTTATGGCTAGAATTGATATGGCGGAACGAGAACAGAGTGACAGCTGATTGTAAGACCGCGTAACGAAACGAAACAAGAACGTTGCAACGCGAAATCGTAATGGTAAATTGAGTGAGAATTGTCAAGATATACTACATTAGCATTTTATATTTTATTGTCACAGATTTAATTAAACGTTCATATAAATTGTGTATTGATTGTTATGTTTCAAGGTGATATTGTAGGCGCGGATTAACTGCTCGTGTTATTAGACATTATATTCACTCGTGAAAGGCTCGTCGAGTCTAAGCACGATGATGCATAATCGCAGGCGAGGCAACAACTTTACGTATGTTAGCTCGTGCGTAAAGTATATGATTTTCATGCTGAATTTTGTTTTTTGGGTAAGTGAAATTATATTTTTGTGGTTATTTATTCACGTTTCATTTGTACCAGTATGGTTTGCAGTTACTGCTTACAGCAGAATATCTGGGAAAAGAAATTATATATAATTATGTAAAATTATTATAAGTATAATTATATATAATCATATGTAATTTATATATGAATTTTATCTTAATATGGCTACATATCTCAATATGGCTACATATATAATTACATATATCCATACGAAATAAAATTATTATTGAATGAATGTATTGAATGAAAAGCGGAAATAATATTTTGCTTGAATTAAGTGTTTACATTGTGAGCAATCATAAATATAATCATTTACTTCGATTACATTTGTATATAACAGTATTTTTTAGAACATTTTGTAGAACATGTATAATTATATATGATTATAAGGGTGGTCCATTTAAAGTGTTACAAGCTGATATCTCTGAAAGTATGTATTATAGCAAAAAATACTTGAGACAAAAATGGTATAGTTTGAAGGAGGTCAGATAATGGTGAAATTAATTTTTTAAAAACATCAAATTTACAAACATCAAATTTACAAAGTTATATGAAGATCATTAACTTTTTAAATAGAATACCCTACTTTTGATGGCAGATTTTTATAGCTGACATCGAGACGTTTTCAAAATGGTATAATTAAATCGCCTTCCGTTAAGAATTTCCTAATTTATGAGTCTTTAAAGTTACAGTATCATTGACATTATTCAATGTGTAGTCAAGTGATGATAAAGTTTGCAAAGATTAATTCACACCTTCAT